AAATTATTCACCCATTCCCAGTAGTATAAATGATGTTAATCAGCATTCTTATGGAAATTTCAGGCATGCTTACACTGAAGTGAGATTGTGATTGCAGTATATTGCATTTACACACAAACTACCTTTAGGATAGATGGATCAAGGTGGCATAATCACAATAGGAATGGGTTCATGCTGAAAAACAAACTCAAAACAAGTAAGACAGAATGCACCCATTCTGAGTTTAGTGATTTTCCTTTCAACTGGTAAAACTAGAACTTGAACTGGTTGTTTTGTTCATTGTGTACTAGTCAGATACAGCCTCAAACCTAGATATCTTTCCTGTTATATGTGGCTTTCTCCTTCCAATAAATATTCTGCTACTGAAAGAAGTTCTAAATTATCTCAATTTTGTACCTAGGTTTTGAATATGATGGTGTATTCCTAACAATCTTTGTCTTTTGCTTAGGCCAAGTACACAGAATATGAAATAATGTTGCCAGATAAATAGAACTGTCTTGGGATTATTAATAGCAAAAGAAAAAAAACCAAAAAAAAACAGAAATAAAAGATGGTATCCATGGTCGCTGTGTATTCAGACTGTATTTTTCCTATCTAGAAAATCAAAAGTAACATAGAAGATTATTAATAGCAAAAGAAAAAAAAAAAAACCAGAAAAAAAAGATGGTATCCAAGGTCGCTGTGTATTCAGACTGTATTTTTCCTATCTAGAAAATCAAAAGTAACATAGAAGTATGTCCTGTGGGCATATTTAAAAACACTAGGCAATTCATAGTCATTCCTTTTGGTAAAATGCCCCTGGCATGATGGAGCAAAAAATTTCCTGGCTCAAAATTTTCTTATCAAAGGAGTTATCAGAATGCTCCTCTTCCTTTTGATTTACTTAAAGTCAAAATCAGTTCTATATGTCCCAATATGTTCTAACTGCTTTCATATGTAGAATGAGTAAAACAGACTAAAAGTAACCAGGCAGGAGATTTTACTAAGTTAAAATCTAGTAGGAAGCATTTTCAAGACCAGTTAGATCAGCAGAATTCCAAAATACTAATCTGTATGCAGTGAAGCCTCAATATAAAAAGCTTATGTGTTCATAATTTATGTTTAAACATATCATTATGTGCATAAATCTTTACATACTGAGACTTCAAGGCAGAAAACATATCTATGTATAGATTCTGCAGTAACTCTGGGAGACTGTTAATTTTGTATAGATCCTTTAGAAAAAGGTGTTTTATGCAAATATTCATTTTTATTTTAAACTTTTGTAAGCAGGTAACTGCAATTAGAAATTATTGCTTCCCCTCTTGAGGTTGTTGAACTTGTGCAGAAAGGAAGAAACATCTCTATAATCTATAACAGAAGGGTTTAAAATTATTCTGGCAGAATTTCTCATTCCTGTAAACAGAAGTTAGGATAGGATCAACAAGTAATTTATAGATTATATTCTGTAGATCCTCCAGTCTCAGTTTGTAATAAATAATCAGTTGATAGAGAAAAAAAAGAGGTAGAAACCAACAAAAAAGAGGGGAGAAAAATTCAGATATTTCCATACTGGTCTTTTGCCTTTCTCTCCACTCCCTGGAATACTATGCACTCAGTTTTTGCTTCTCATTTTGGAAGAACATGTTAAAAATCACTCTGTTCCCTCCCTGTTTTCCCCCATGCACAGACTTGTAAGATTGGGGTTTTTTTCCAAGTGCTTTGCCTTTGTATTGAAGGCTGAGATGCGAAGTTTCTATTTCCTCATGTTTCAGAACTTTATTCTCTCTTTCTTTTATTTTTATTTCTTTTTTCCTTATGCTTTATTGCTTCACTCTTATTCATACTAGGTATGAATTTTGCAAATTCATATATAGGTAGGTATTTTGCAAATTCATATATATTGTCTGTGAGTGTTAGAGTTTCTATTTCACTTTTATGGCTTTTTGCTTTTGTTTTGAACAATAAATTCTCTTTAATGAGGATTTAAACAAAATTATATTAAACACTTTAGATTTAAAAATGTAAAAAGAGGACAGGGGCTTCTTACAACACCTCATTGTAGGGCTTGAGTCATCTGTCAGTCATGTGATGACAATGATAGAGAAAATTACCTGAAAATGTCAGAAATCTTTTGCATTTACTTGCTAACATTTTTTAGTTCTGCAGGGAAAACAGCTGTTACATCCAGAGTGTAATCTGGGTGCCTTCATCACATTCTCTATTTATTGCTTCTTACTTTTTATGCTACCTTTGTCATTCACAGTATCAGTGATACTTTTAGCCACTTCAGGTGCTCCTGGGTGGATTTTCCATTGCTGGGACTTGCAGTCCTGTTTGTAAGAAAAAAAAAGCTAGGAGAAAATCTAGACAGAAGAAAGAATATTGTTCATATGCTTCCTTTGTTCTCTTAAGTCAGTATAAACAGAATTGTCAGAATTGTCTACTTGAGTCAGTATAAACAGAATTAAAAATTCCTTGTCTCAAAGTATCAGATTATTAGGTGTACTCAATATTTGTTGCAAAATGAAAACCAATGAATTTAGAACATTCTAAGTCCTTCAGAATTGGAATAAAACTACAGTATTCAATGCTAGCTTTTACATGGGTATAAATTTTTAAATGATTGATTTAACAGCAGCAATATATAATACTTGTCATCCCACATCGATCCTTACTTGTGACAGGATCACTTCTTAAACAGTATAAGGTATAACAAATATAAACATTGCATTAGAAAGGCCCTGTAATCCATTCCAGAATTATTTGTGCAAAATTTTGCAAACCACCAACAGTAATACAAATACTATTGAACTTAAACACTATTAGCTGTGTGTTTCTAATGCAACCTTCATAAACTTAAGCAATTGTAGCCTGTATTAGGCCATGCTTTATTGCTTCTGTCTATGAATTCTTCAGTTAATTAATTTTTTAACTGCTTCAAATAGACTAGAATTGTAAGTGTAAAAATCTGATCCCCAGAAAATATAAATAATACATGAAGAATAGATGGTACTCACTATATTTAGACCAACAGAGACTGTAGAAACAAAATGCAAATCAGTTTAATTAGGAAGCAGCCTGTCAGATCAGAAGACAGCTTAAACTGAGTCCAAGATTATTTCTCTGAATCTAATGTTATTTAAGTTGTTGTTGTTGTTAAATATTTATATGCAGTGTAATGTTTAAAATATTCCCAAAAGATTACAGAATGCGCTTATATTTCCCCAGGCTCTTGTGGACTAATCACTTCCTTCTTCTATCTGACTGAAGCAACATGTCAAGTATGGGGTTTTGCAGAATTCCAGCATAATCAGGATGGTCTGAAATGGTCTGACTTAGGCCCCCGAATACACAAGAGAGTAGAAAATAGTATGCTTTCCTTTCTTTATGCTTCCTGTACAGTCAGTGCAAACACAGTTTACCTCCTAGCACAAAACATCATCCTTTTCTAAGCACAGATGATAAATGCACAAGTCCTTGCAATTTAAATACTTTGAGGATGTCTCTTCTCACTTTTTATTCATGAATGAAGGAAAAGGTGCTTCTGTATTTTGTAATTAGCAGTTCTTTCTATGTTCTATACTGGAATAGCAGCTCTTTATTATAAGTTTTCTTCTCAGGATAAGTTCTAAATATGTAAAAAGAATTTCAAGAAATACAGACTAAGTTAAAAGAAATAATAATAAAATATATACATGTGTTCCAAAGTTTTAAGACTATAAAACATCCATGCATCTCTTCAGCTCCTCACAGCTGATCACAGTGCATTAAATAGTTAAACAGGCAGCATCTCTCTAGCAGATACAGGGGATTTTTTCCAAAGGTAAAAAGTTAATGAAAATGTATTTTATTACTCAGCTGAAAGAAACCCTAAAATCTATAGCCAGTAAGTAGCATTATTATGATAGAGAGAAAAAGAGGAGGGATGCATTATAGAATTGCATTCATATCAACAAAAAGAGGGGATGCCATACCTTTTCATCTATTCTTTTTCTTCCTTTCCTGAGATTTCTTAACCACTTTGATGAAGAGTCTTTTGTTCCTGTTTTCAAAGGACAAGAAAAATTATGGCTTTGTTCTCTACTTAAACATTGCACAAGTCTTAACAGAGAAGGCACTTCTAACTGACATGATTTAATCTCTAACATTCAGAAAATAAGAGCTTACTTCATTGCCATTATTCAATTATCAATGTACATTTAAAAATACCCATTGACAAGCCCTTATGCACAATGTAAAGAAAAAAAAGATTACATAAATGATATGACACCAGCCTTTGAAATATTGAAATGTTCAAAAGCTACAAAATAATAATGTCATTTTAAAATAATGAATTATGATAAAGAAATATATCAAAATATGAGAATTTACATGCTTGTTATCCAAATACACTGAATCTTATCCTTCTGAATTTCTTCATACCTGGTACTGTTAATATATAAGTGCTTGCTGAAAGGGGTTTTAAGTGCCTGAAAATCTATCAAATAAGGACTTTTGTGGGTTGGTCCTGAAGCATAAATTGTTTCTCCCTTGTTTAATAAAGTGGAAGGAAGAAGTGTTAATTAAATATCAGAACTTTTATTAGCTTTATTGTAGCAAGCTATGAAGCAACAGCCTGTAGATTTATGTATATTAGACTAAATCTAATGAAGCTCATTTAAAAACTTATTGGGAAAACATTTCAAAAAATGAAAGAAGAATACTCTTCGACTGAGTATAATATTTGGGCATGAAGAATTTTGAGACCATGGGACTAAATGTGATAGGAATTGTTGCATCAAGTGGCCTGGCTTACTGACAACTCCAGCTGCATCAAGTTTTCTGGATATATAATTGTGTGAGCAAACAGGTTTGTATTTATGTGACCAGTGTGATTGTGTCAAGAAGCAAATGGCTTTTTGACTATTATGGCTGTGAAAGATATAGTTTTTTATGAGCTATTATTTATTCTTATTTGGAATACCTAACATTTCATGTAATAAATTCCATGCTATATTTCTCCTCTGTATTCTCTTCAGGTTCTCCATATAGAGATAAGATCACTATAGCAATTCTTCAGCTGCAGGAAGAAGGCAAGCTCCACATGATGAAAGAGAAATGGTGGAGAGGCAATGGTTGCCCAGAAGAGGAAAGCAAAGAGGCCAGTGCTTTGGGAGTTCAGAATATTGGAGGAATCTTCATCGTGCTGGCAGCAGGATTGGTGCTTTCTGTCTTTGTGGCAGTTGGGGAGTTTTTGTATAAATCAAAAAAAAATGCCCAGTTGGAAAAGGTAAATATTGTCATTACCTGTTTATTTTATATTTATGATCTATTTATATAATACTTTAAGCATTTTGTGATGTTTAGTGAAATGTAGGTGATGCATACTTGTCGTTTATTTTTATAGTAAAGTATTTGTGTAACAAAGGATGACAACAAAATATCCAAAGTTTTACATTTACAGCTTTTAATTTTTCTTCAATGTGTTTAATTGTAGCCAGATTTCAGGACAAGTGACTATTTCTCCTCTTATTCAAGCCTGAAAAAAGACAGCTTTTTACTCCTGGAAGTTCACTGCAGTTAATTTTATGGATGAAGAAGAAATCTGAAACTGTAATGGGAAACAAATTAATCTCCTACAGATAATTCTGATTTGCAAAAGACAAACTCTCTGTAGCTCAAAGTCAAAGTCTAAAAATGTCTCTATAGAAATGTTCTTTATAGGAGTTTATACTTGCAAAGTTGTCCTGGTAACATCTGGAAAAGATTACATCAGCATGATTCTTCTTTTGGTGGGTTTACTACTGATATGATGTCCTGTAATTTCAAACTGACCCAATATTGAAAATCCTCTTGTTAACTTGTTGTGTACTTGCAGTTTTTACAAGCAGAATACTGTAAATGTGCTAAGACTAATAATATATTGGAAAAATTTGTAGCTGAAATTATAATTTTTTGCATAATAATTAAATAAATCTTTCTATATGTATGTGCCCATGTCTAAACCTAAAATAAAATAGTTTATTTTTTGACTATGGCAAAATCTGAATTTTAAACATTAAGGAAACTGTTAGATTTTGCTACGTCTTTTTGATTTTTACTTTTGAGGAGATTGTGACCTATGACAATTTTAAAATTCATGTTTAGAAATGTAATTTAATACAATCAGTAGTAAATCCAAAAGGCATATTTCTATTGGTATTTTTCCAGATGATGCTAGTGAGCTTTTGTAACTTGAATCATTACTCAGAAAATTTACTATTTGTTTTTGCTTCTTTTGAGGCAACTTTTTGGTACTCAAGTTTCCTGTTATAAATATATTGTTAAGAATTTATTTTCTAACACACACTAAGGCAGTGTGAGGTTTCAAGGTCCTAAACACTGTTTGAACATGGGTACATTCATTTAATTGTTGAAGGACTCTTAAGGTCCTCTTCTTTACAATACTGCAGGCTAATTCCTTTTGTTAACATACTATTGGAATGTTATGTTTCTGAAATGAATTTGTAAGGAAAAATAATACTGGTTACTTAAGAAACCCTTGTAAATATAAATAATTTTTCATCCATTCCTAAAATGGATATGAATCTCATATTATCATCAGTAAAATTTGGTTTACCTTTTCTGGACTTTTAGCACACACTCAATTAGAAAAATAGGACTGCTTTGATAATAATTTTGTTACATGAGTCCAGTATTTTACAGGCTATAGATACTTATGTGACAATGGCAGCATGTTGGAAGTTGTGAGGGGAAGCAAACAGAAATTTTCTAATTAAGGATTTGTTTCCTTTAAGTCCTTTAGCTTTGTGGGGGGCGCCAGGGGGAGAAGACTTTGTTTATTTTTGTGCGGTTTGGGTTTCATATTTTTTTTTTAATTTTTCCTTTGTGTTTGGTTTTTTTCATTTGTTTGTTAATTAGTGTTGGATAGAGATAGCAGTCACTGGAGGAATGTGACCTTTCAAAAGCATTTGTATCAGAAATGTTTCATCATCAAGTATTTAGATACTTTTAAAAGTTAGGAATAAATTTGAAGCAGCTGAGTTGAGTTGAGTCAGGCTTCTCTCCTTTCTCTCCTCCTTGCCTCCAAGCACTTACCTTCCATCTCCTCCCTGCTGCTCCCACATACCCTGATATCAGCAGACCACTGAAATTTCACTGCAGTTTTATTTACAGAATGAACTTAAGAGGAAGATGATGCTTGCATCCCTACACATGGCCTACCCCAGCATCCCCTCACCCACCCTTCTTGCAGCACCTGAAGACTTTCAGAAAACATTTTCTTTCAACCTCTCCCGGTATAGCAGATCCCCTTTGCCTAGAAGAGGGAGCAACAGCAGCCTAGGGTGAGATGAGGAATCCTGTCATTTCTCACCACTCTGTACAAGTCCCTGCTGAGATGAGTAAACAGTGCAAATAGTGCTGCTCTAGATATCCTGTGGGGACAGAAGAGGCACCTGTTTTTGGTGGTTTTATCCCTTAGGAATCAAAGTATCATTCTGGCGTAGTGTTTGTCAGTATTTGGAAAGAGGGAAGATCAAAGGTCATATTAAAAGCCAAGGAAAAAAAATTAATCAGATAACTTCAGCTGCTGAGTATATGGAGTATCCTGAGATATAAGTGGACATGCGTGTTTGCTTTTTAATGTGTATCAAATATTCATTTATACTTCCAGCAGGGAGGCAATGCAGATTGAAATTGTATAATATAGATATGGGGGTTTATAATTTTTTATGGCACCCTGCTCTTGGAGCTTACACATATACAGAGATATTGTCTTGTGTGATCTATTTGGAGAAGTGAAATTTTGAAAGGAATCAAGCTCAGAAAAACAGCAGATAAAATGGTGTTATTCACTAAAATAAAAAATGTTGCATCTTGTAAGAAAAGATGGCTCAAAACATCTATGCCCCTGACGTGTTTAAAAGTCAGAAGAAAATGTACGACACTCCTGAGACTTTCTGTGAAACAGATGATTTTATGCCACCACAACACTTTCCAGACAGAGGGAAATTCCACTCTTATTGACACCTATCAAAAGCAAAGATAAGCCTGGATGTTATCACAGTTAGACTGCCAGTCACTGGCACTTAAAGCTAGCTTGCTTGAAAAATACGTATCCTAAATTGCTAACTATTTTCCAGAAAATCCAGTCATTATGAATGTGAATACAGCTATATGTGGATTAAATTCTGCTATCATTTCTAGCCATTCAAAACTCATTGAGCCTTCAGCAGGATGGAACTAGGTATGCTTGTGTAAAAATAGCAGTTGCAAATTTTATTAATTTTGAATGGTTATGTACTTCAAACAATGTGAATCAAGACTCATACCTTAACTATTGTTAGGAGATGAGGTCATACACTTCCTATAGTAAAAATATAGATTCAGTCTCAACATGTACTGAAACAGTAATGTCAACAAAGTATATCTGGAGTTACACAATCAAATCACAGCATAAACATCAATTAAATTAATGTCTCTGAAACAGTTATTTATAATTTATTATAAAAGCAATAAATACAATAAGTACATTAATACTTGTTTATATTTCACATACATTTACAAGGAAGACAAAAACTGTTGAACATTCCATGTTAAATAATTCAATGCTCAGCTGCACAATTGAGTTGAGAAAGATCAGTGTGGATAATTTATCTCACAAGACACAATGATGAGCTCTTGGAAGAACTGTGCCCAAAGCAGAGATCAGTAGCTAGGAATATACATGTGTTAGATACAGAACTGTTTTACTTACAACTGCAGATTCCAAGAACAAGAAATTCTGAATGCTGAGCTGTGACCTGTATATGAGACTAACTATGTCTTTGGAGATGGCACAAATTAATCTGGATGACTCTTGCCTGAAATGAATTGAATACAATAACTTAAAACGCTTTCTGCAAAATGCTCAAAACATGTTTTTATAATGTATGGATAGCAGGAACAAGAATTTATGATCGTAACTGGCTCGAAAATTGATGCAGCTTTAATGAACTGCAGAGTCTTTAGGTTATGGTACAATTTGATCTTACTAGAAATTAAAAGTGGTTTTGCTGTGATTTCTAATAATTCTGAATTTTCTACCTCACACATATGTTTTAGTAATGCCATAACCTGGTGTGTGTTTTGGACTGGATAACTCTTCTAGTTTTGCCTAATACATAGTCTCACTGTTTCCTTCAGAGAAAGTGCTGGGAATGGCAGGGCACATATTCTTGTCTATGGCAGACTGTTGATATTCCAGTTAGTGCCATGGGAAAGGGTAGGAGGAGATGGTAGGTCAGAGGTTGACCTGACTGCATTCCTGCAGAGCAACCACAAGATGGTGCCTTCTAATTTCTGAGAGGGAAATTTAATTGTCACTTTTAAATAAAATTTACGTTGCAATGCTTACCTGTTGTTTAATTGCAGCCTTTCTGAAAATGCTAAAGGCTTGGATTATTTCCCATTGTTTATGATACAAACATCTAATTATGTCATCTACTTGGAAACATGTTATTATCAGACCTTTTTTATCTAGCCAATCTTGACAATAAATGCTCCGTCATTTGCATTTTATAATTGCTTTTGCTGCTGAATGACCTGCTCCTTTATTTTAACAGGCACTCAGAGGGCAGTGAGTAAGCAAGGTTAGAAACAGAAGCCATTTAAAACAATTACTTGTCTTTCCTCCTTTTTTTTTTTTTTTTTAATTGATGTGCATCAATGCATTATGGGTTTATGTCCATTTCACATATTTAGTTTTGTATAGCTCATATTATTATCGGAAATACCAGGGAAAACATTGACCTTGTGAAGACCACTAATACTTAGCATTGATGATTCTCAGTTTGAGAATTTATTGACCTTTCCTTTGATTTTGTGTGTACAGGTTTTTTTTTAAATTATCCTCTGACATTATTTCCATTTTCATACCACCCTTACACAGTGAGTAGATACTACTGTAAGAGTCAGCTGTGTGACAGAAACTACACGTGCACGGCTGAAAACATTAGGATGAAATTCACAATATTGATGAAGGCAGTGCCATGGATATATAGACCATTGCTTGTTGTAAATTGTTGTCCTTGTGCCTATCCTGGTCTGGGTTTCTTTGGAGAGGGTGACATTGGCTGGAGAAGTTATCTGCAAACCTGGTTTTATTGATGTAGTTGTCCCACACCCTTCTCAAGAGGCAAGGAGGGGCCAAGAGCTGATAGGTTGAAACAGCTGCTGCACTGTGCCCATATGCAGTTACTCATCATCCTGATTTTGCTTCTCTCAAAAACTTCTGGTTCTCAGTTTGTT